TGAGACCCTCTCCGTCACCGACGGGCACGTGCTGTTGCATGCGGTCGATTGTGCAACACATGCGGCGCCGATGGCCATACTCACCGCAGGCAGTGCAGTTGCCAAGTGAATGTCCATGCCTCTCGCATCTCACGCACTGATGAACGGCACCCATCAGAGCACCCTGCGGCGAAGCTGACTCCTCTTGCGGGTACACAGCGTTGCGCCCACAGTCATAGAGCCCCCCAGATCCCCACGTCGGGAAGTAAGGAGGTGGGTAATGTGCAGGTGGTGGCTGAGGACGAACCCACCGCTGCTGCTCCCGCTGTTGCCGCCACCGCCGTTGTAGTCCCCCCTGACCGTGGCCACCATGACCGGACCCAAGCCCACCAACCGTCACCGCTGCCGCCGGTGCCGCCTGCGCTTTGCCCAATTCCTTCATCATGACCTTGTTGGCGTATGCCGCGCGAACAACGTTTTCCACCTTCGCTCGGGAAATGGTGGGGTCGGCCAGGATGGACTTGCGTTCGATATCGTACTCGTGCGCAAGCTGGCGGACAATGATGTGCACGAAAGCCCGCTCAGATTTTTCGATGCCAACAGCTTTCATGATGTTGATCACTCCGTCTACTCTGGCGAAGAGTTTCGGGTCCTCGACGGGATGCATCTCAATCGTCTCAAGTCGCCTCACAAGCAACGTCTTCTCAGCGTCAAGAGTAGGCAACAGCCATTCGTGGATCACGCTCCACGCCTCAGGGATGCAGTCGCAAGCACCCAACCGTTCTTCAATGTTCGTGCCGCAGGTTGCTTCCAAGATGTACCCCCACGCCCGCTGGTGAGCTGCCACCAGATGTGCACCGTGAGTCTGGTTCAGGTATGTGCGATCCAGACAACTGACAACGTTGACATAACCAGTACATGGCATGTGGTCAAGGGTTCGCTCCAAATCCTCGACAGCCAGGAAATTCCGCATTCTCCGAAGCCAGCTCACGGCCTTCGTCGAATTCGTCGGGATTTTGGGCGGGTTGCGACTGCTGTTGTAACCGCTCAAAGCACAATTTCCGTCATTTTTCATGCTCGCCCGTTGTGTACCGAGCCCAGCTCCACCAGCTGCCCCGGCAGTCGTTCTTCCGGCAGCCATTGCTCCTGCCGGTGCATCGTTCTTCTCCCTTAGATGCCCATATTCCATCTCCGTCCAGTACTTCTCCCACATGTTCTTCCTCCGCCTAATTACGCCGCAAAAAAAAAATGCGGCACGATGTATCTCCTACTGCTGTGTCTTGTAGCTAGACTTATTCTTGTTCACGTAACTGGATCTCCTTGGCACGCTTACCGCTGCTGCCCTTGTATTCCAAATGCTGTCCCTGGATCTCCTTGGCGCGCCTGTCGCGGCTGCCCTGGTATTCCAACCTCTGTTCCCTGGATCTCCTTGGCGCGCGCGGGCAAAAACCGCCCGCTGCTGCTGCCCTTGTGTTCCGGTGCCTACCTCCCGAACCGTTCCCNCAGGCAAGAAGGACCTGCTGCTGCACACACGTCTGCATATACCCAAACTTATCATATATGCGTACCCCCTCGGATATTTCGGAGATCTGTATCCTGCCGAGTACATACACAAACAATGCGTATTTCGGGAGAAGAGACATTGTAGAATAGGTCATGGCTAGACAGATTCATCATGTGGAAAATCGCTCACGTATATAGTTTAGGCATTTATCCCAGCGGAAATCGACGATACATTGCGGCTGATATCCATCATGATATTGGGGGTCTACTACTACTGTAGCCACGAAGAAACTAATAAATATATGCTGTTGGCAATTGGAGGTCGATGCGTATCGATGCACTAGCCGTAACTGACCCGTAAACACTCCTCTAGCGTTATACCTCACAACGTGTTGTCCTCCTACGGTTTGTTGTGTTCCTTGTTTGAACCTTCTCGTGTTCGAAACGTTGCTGTCTGGAGGTAATATTGACGCAGTAGTTCAGGATATTCAACATTTCGCGAGTCGAAGGCTGGGCAAGTACCTCACCATGTCTCAAACACAAGAAGTAGAAAAACAGTATGACAACACGTACGTGTACTCGAGAACTTCAGGTGTATTGTTGTCTTCTTCGATAATCTGGGCGCCTTTCCAATAATCTTGGACATTGATCGACATGAGGCACCAGTGTGTTGGCCTGCTGTAAGGCAGATCGACAGTAGTAGTAGCTGATGCCGAATAATATTTCACACTTTTCGTGTGCATACAGCTCATCGAGTATTTTTGTTATCCCGGGAGACAAAGGATATTCCTCCGGTAGGTGGCGTATGTTCCTGTTTTGGGCAGTAGCACAACTCGCCGCGATTTTGGTGCAGAATCTAACTTCCCTGGCGGTCATTCGATGATGGTACTCCTTTTTTGGCGCGTGGCATGTACTCAGCATATTCATGACAGGTAATCACGGGTAATCTGTTGCACCCCAGGCCTATCGTTCATCGCTGACCACGAACAAAGCCCGTCTGGAACAAGTAGACCCCTAACACCTGCCCTCGTTACCTCTGGCGTTTGCAGGATATTTTGTCTAGATACACTGCAGTGGGTATTATGGAACACTGGGACCTGTCTATGCAGCTCTTCAACGCCCGTGTGCGGTCGCCCGTGCGTGAGTGGAACATAACTCAGCACAGCAATGCGGGGTTGCCGTCCGAGCTTCGAGATGAGGTGCTTCAATGGGCGCACGACAGCCCGGTCGTTCACCGTTTGATAGCAACAGATATGCTTTTGTATTCCTTTGCGCTGTCCATTTTCAAGCGGCAGACGACGGAAGCACTCGGTACAAACTGGCTCGACGGCTCATCATGGTGTTGATGTACTCGTGAACACTTCATTTGCCTGGCGTGGTAGGTGGAACTCCCTTTGAAGTATTAGGTAGCCTTTTGCAGAATTCTTTCGTCAGCGTTCGCGGTGTAGGGATGGATCTCTCCGTAACTTCGGAATCAGGCGGGGAACATCAAATCTGTCGGTTCGTACTCTCTCAGTCATCATTAATCATCAGGTGTGACCCAAGCAGCTACGACGGTTGTTTCTCTTGAGTTGAGGTACCGACGGAAACAACGCGACGAATCATCCCTGGATACGTATCGGACAGGTGTTGCAAGTTTGGCACAGAAATTCACGACGATAGTAGAAGCAAGGCAGTAGACCGGATGGCGTCGTAGTTGGTGCGGGATTATCATTGTTGAATATTACGTATAGGGCAGAGTGCACAGCGCGCACGAAATAACGGCGGCATTTAACGCCGGGCATTGCATTAGTCTTTTCGGTGTCTGCAACTTTTTTTTTTCTCTTTGACTCCCATTATTAGACTCTGTTGTCTGCCCCTCTGGCCCCTATCCTCCACTTCTACCAGCTAGACGGCCCGACCGGGGTCACATAGGAGGTGGGGGTTGGACCCCCTCCTGCGGTTCCTGCCTGAGATATTTTTATCGCGAGAAGGGTACAGTAATCCCTTCCCTCGCGACTTACGAAGTCGATCAGGTTTACTTACAACGAGCTTTGCAGCGCGTCGCTTCCAACGGAGACCAGGATTTAATTAGCGAGAAAAGCCCACTCTGTCGGGACTCGAACCCATGACCTGTATGTGATGTGCGGTATCTGTCATTTGCGCAAGCTTGACTGAAGCACCGGCTAAAGAAAAAAAAAAAATCTGATGGAACTATTGAAAGACACAGGAGGAGGAAACACGCCGGCGTGACACGATCAAACCAAACCAACTTTCCGCAAGTCCCAGATTGGGAATCCTCCCTCCTTCTCTCCGATCAGTATAAAGTGGGAGGTTTGTGGGTAGTGCCTCCCTCCGATCAACGGAAGGATGAAGGCAGGTGGGCAACGTGGTGAGATATCTGATCTGCACACGCAAATCAAACACCATCTTCATGAATTTTGGTTAAAAATCGTCCGCCTCAGCAAGCGAATGCTCTGCGGTGTGGCTGCATAATACGTGTCGAGGCAAATGAATCAACCACCGACAAAAACAATTGTAACAAAATGTTGTTGAAATTGAGAGCGAAGCATGAAATTGATAGCGAGAGCCAAAAAAAATATTATTCGGGTCCAGACGCCTCTTGCCATTTCTCGGGAAGTAGGGGGGCGGGCTGTTCCAAGAAGCGGTGCAAATGGAAGGTCTCATCAGCAGCGCCACGAGCATATGCGTGTCAATGTCATCGGATGCTGCAGCTAGGAGCTAGACAAGTTGCTAGATTTTCCCAGATGGCCATTCCTGCCTCAAACTGTTGTGGGGCGGTTTAGCGTCGGGCGGTGGGCTCTGCTGTAGCTTTTGCTCGCAGCTGTAACTCCACATCGAGAGACTCCCACAGGATGACCAAGGTATCTGCTTGAACCTACGGGCTGGCCCTTCAATTCAAGCTACACAGCAAGCTCCACCTCTCAGCAGTAGTCCAGCTGCAGTGCATCGCGCAATCCCGCTCTCAATCAAATGCTTCGCTCTCAACTTCACCCATATGCTGTTTTGCGTCATGTTCCATTCCGGAAAGAATTCGTTTCAGCTACGGAAAAAATTATGTACATATTAGGCCCATGTTTATGGTCACCAAATCTTTGAAAAAAATCTTCAGCGTGCGAATATTTGTATAAGGAAGATTTGAGTACCGCTGTTATGGGAACGAGAAAAAAAACTTCGGCGGGACTGTGAATTTCGGAGGCGTTTTGGTTCGTTTTCATAAAGCGCGCGGCACGGGGCCCCCTTCCCTCATGAGCAACACGCGCACACCAGCTGTCGCACACAGTTATCACTTTCCACGCCCAAACACATTCACACGCCAGACACACGCCACACCACACACTCGCCACACACACACCCCGGTGGTCTCCGAGTTCGACACAGCAGCATCCCGCAAATCACGATGGCAGTCGATTTCTCGAAGTCATAGAAGGCGCCCATGCTTGCCATCGATCTCTCGGAGGACTTCATGTTCGCTTATGGAAGTTCTGCGGCACCTACAGCAACAAAACCATGACCCAGCCTGCCCTCAAGATGCTTCAGCCGATACCACTCGTCCACTCTGCCCTAGCAGTCAAGGAGGCAGACAAGATGTCTGCAGCACAGTGAAACCTGGCAGCGTCAAAGTGCATGCAAGAGATCGCGGTTCGTGGTTTCATCAAGCTCATCGAGTACGCCCTGAGCACCATGGACGGGCCGCTGCAGATGCCTCACAAGTGAAAGGACATGGTGTACTACACGACCCTTGGTTCAGGTGTGTATCANGACCTCGGTGGCCGGCTGGCCCACAACCGACCTATCCGGACAAACCCCACACGGCGGCAGTTCAACCGATAGAATCTGCAGGTCGAGGCAGCGCGATGGGCGGTGTCCCAACGGTTTCTCTGCAACTTGCTCGCGAGGTCGGGCGCGCCGGCGACCACCGCTCAGGAAATGGCGAAGGAGTTCACGGAGGCCCTGCTTGGCGCGGCGGAGACGGAGCTGTCTGAGGAACCCCGGAGGCGGCGCACCCCGGAATGGAACATGA